ACAGAATCTCGCAGCAACATTGCTCAACGTTGCAACGTTATCGCAATATTGCTCGGATAATCTCTGCTGTATGGATCTTCGGTGACTTTCATCGAACTCGCTAATTATGTCATACGTATAAATTAACGGATTGCGATCGTTATCGTACTAAAGAATAAGTCGGTGCACGCGGCAGGAGCAACATGGCTGTTCGAAGCTCTCGCGATTCGATGGCCAGCATTTGTATAACAGAGAACGGACGATCACGGCTGGATGCACATAATTTGCGTAAGTAACAGAGACCGGCGAGATGAGAGCAGTTTAAAACGTCAAAGAAGAAGGGAACGGAGTAAACAATAAATGGAGAAATTAGCGAGAGAAGACCTTCTCGAGAAAACCATCGAAAGAGTAGGGCGGTCACATAAACCGTCTCGGATTCACCAAACGGAATCCTTCTCCCTCGCCCCTTCGATCCGATCTATCGACACACCGACTCTGTGACTCTCCTTCCTCTCCTTGATTCGATTTCCAGATTAATTAAGGATCGCTGGTCTGAAAGGACGCCCTCGAGATCCTTTCAACGGGGTCGAGTATCTGTCCGTCCCCGGGGGTGACGTAACGAGCGCCGATTCGAATCGGTTTCACGAGACACCGAGCCTGATAATGACATTTTCCGTCGGCTCAGGTAAGTCTATCCTTACGACTCTATGCCTGCTTACTGATTGCGAGCCCTTTCGACAAAATCTTCAATTTAGTCTCGCCACGAGAAGGCTTTCAGGAATCTACGCCCTAACCTCTTTTTTAATCTCTTTTATCCTCGTTAGCTTATGAGGGATATTGTATTTTTCTCTGATATTTTTATAATAATAATTTATAAGATTGATTTTTGAATGAAGAAATTATACATAATATGACACTGGTATATTTCGTTTCTATTTATTTTTACTTAATTCAAACTCGAATTAAATTTTCGTCAGAGACAATGTATATGATACGTTTGAATATTGTACAAATTGGCAGCCGAAACAATTTTTATTTTATCGTTTTTATCTATTCATGACTATCAAAATAATATTTCTTTAATTATTTTTATTCCACAAATCGCATTAGTGCCCTAATGCAAATCCTCGACGTTTTTATCGTTTATGTACAATAATATTCTTATAATTTAATAGTTCGCGGCAGGATACCTACGATTGATCCGAGATGACCTACATAAGGCTGCCGAGAGTGCCGAGGACAATAGTCAAGCACCCAACTCACAGCTGAATTGTAGACGACGCGACGTTAGGAAGGCTTTAGGGCTCTCGAAGTCGAAGGTGGAGACTCACCCATTACCCACTCGCTATTACTCCCTCTCCACTTTGCTTTATCACCTCTTCCCTAACAGACACTAGACAGAGCGAGAGAGAGAGAGAGAGAGAGAGAGAGAGAGAGAGAGAGAGAGAGA